CTTTGGTAAATGTTTAAGGAAAAAAATGTGTCCTGACATGAAAAAACCTAACAGCTCATTCTCAAAAAATAAATGTAACTTTTCATACAAGCTGGCAGAGGTCTGTAAAGTTGCTGAGGGGAAAAATAAYTAAGTAAAAGTACAATTACATGAACAGAAAATGACTTCGGTAAAAATTAATTTCACTGATGAGAAAACTACTCAAGTAAAAATCATAAAATTGTTACAAAAATTGGGAACGTAAAAGTACTTTTACACACTCTCTAAGAAAACTATTGAATTTACTGAACCAAACTGGTTCAACGAAGCCAGGTTGAGTAAATTGAGCAATATATGAATATTCTTTGCTCAGTTTACTCAACTAGGCTTAGTGGAACCAATTGACATGACTTTGTTGAGTAAATTCAACACTTCATTTTTTAGAGTGCAGAAACATCTCTCATAATGAGTTCCGACATATTTAAGTTTGTAACAAGTAACTAGGTGTTAAATTGAAGTAAAAACATCATTTTTTAGCTTTAAAATATAATGAAATAAAAGTAAAAGTAGCTATTTAAAAATAGTTGGTAAAGTTACAAATCCTCTAAAAACTACTTAAGTACTGTAACAAAGTAAATATACTATAATTCTCTGCAAGCTGGGTTTGGAAAGTATTGGATTTTTAAAATCTGGTTCAACCTGAAACTTAGCCTTTAGACTGGTCTGACGGGTTTATTGGGCGAGTCCAACCTACTTATTGGACAATTCAACACACAAGTCTAATTTGGCAGAAATTTAATTTAATCTAAAACCTAAAAACATTTCATGAATTTAGAAACTAAATTTAATTGTCATCTTTAAAAGTCATTCTTTAGCTACCATAGTTGCAACAGATTTTCAAAAAAAATTGGTTTGGGTACAAACGGATCTGGAGATAAGTCACAAAAAGAGAATCTTGAAGTGCCTGTGACATGCTTATTCTTCAAATACAAAGTAAAAAAAAACCATCTTTATATTTAGGAAAGTTGGAATAATACACACAATTTAGCCCATTTTRTCCCGTAACTGGTATATTTTCTTTCGAACTTGGCTCAAAGGGAAACAGGAAGTGACATCAAAGGGGAACTCTAACAAAGAAAACTCTCTGGTCTTTGTTTATTGAAACAATATTTGAACTCTGACTCTTCTTCACCTCTGATTGTGACTCAAAATGATCTTAAAAAACATCAGATTCTTCTCGACAGTCTGAGTTGTTAGGTATTGTAGCAACACTCTGTTCACGTGCAGACGTTCCCCTTTGACATCACTTCCTGTTCCTTCACAGGCAAATATCTCAACAACTGTTCATCTCAGCGACATAAAACTTATTTTGCAATATTTTATCAATGTCCTCTTTCTAAAAATGCATTTATATGTATTACAAAAATTTGATGTCACAGGCACTTTAAAGCCATTAGGAATTTGCCAAAATGCATGTTGACAAGCGCTAAAGTCTGACTGATGAGACTGAACTTTAAGGATATAGTATTATTTTATTCTAGTGCAAATGTGTCAAGAAAATATAACCAGGCCGATACACCATGTTCATCACACCTATATCTGCTGAGTCATCATTTAACGCTGCTCAAAACAAATGTTTGTGGGTGTTTTCTTTTTGTCCTTATGACATGTTAATAATTTTTGGAGTGCTGGTCATCCTATTTTTGTGATTCCGCAGAACCARGCATGCTTTTACTCTCATTTTTTTCTCGGAGTGGTGCGCACTACTTTTTTCATATTTTCTTTTTAAGCAAAAATGTGGACTAACTGCAAAAAAACATCCTTGCTCATCATCTGGCTATCAACGATCCAATTCAATTTTCTTACACTTCACAGCTGTGATGAGAAACAAAAAAACTAAACAAGTGTCTTCTTCAGTTTGAACAAGCAGAGCAATTTTTATTTACAACATACACAGGTTATTTCACCCATGAGCCTTTACTCACAGAGTACTTAAGAGTGCATCTTACAGCAAAAATCTTTGGGCTTGAAAACAGAGAAAAGAAAGCTTTCTTCCCCACCTCCATCTTAAATTAATACAATCCACACCGTTTAGATGACAAATACTTGTGTGATCATTTCAGCTCAAATGCCATCAGCAGCAGCAAACAGCAGACCTCTGGGATGCTTTGACCTCACTACTCGAGACGATTAAAAGGCTTGAAAAAGTTGTAAAATCAAGCCCAGAAAAGTTCTTTTAAAACGGTTATTTCGGGTTTTTAAATTAAGGATTTCAAATCAACATATTAAACGGGTCTATGAGCCCTGTTGGGACTCTTCCTCACAGAGGTCCTCAGTCTGCATCAGCTAAAGAGGAAACGCCTCGTAGGAACCTGGTGTTCAGTGCAAGGACACTTCAGCAGGCCACCATTATTTCCTCTCAACACTATGGCTCTAGAAATACTGCCAGATCTGGTTAAAGTCACTTGTTAATGGCACCCCCGCCCATGAACAACTCCCACCATAAAGCACAGTAAACGTGCTAGCGATACACTCTAACATAGAGTACGGGAAATTCAACACTGAGAAGTTGGTCTGGCCCCAGGGAGTCCACAGCAAGCAGTGGTATCAAATGTTTTAGGTTTTTTTTTGCAAGTAACCGCATATAAACATTCAGACCTTTTCATGCTGATATTTGTTGCTAGAAAAGTGTTTTAAGAAAAACAAAACATCTTAACAGGTCCTTTTAAAATGTTGTGTACTGTAATTGTGAACAAAGCTTATTTTGTTGATTTTTTCCAAGGTTAATTAAAAGATAACTCCACCCCCTCCTTCTGCTGCACGTCCTGCTGTATGCAGAAAGAGCACTTTTAAAGGTTTGCAAAAATGACGAGTCCCTCTGAGGACAAACAGTTCAGCCAAAATCCAGCAGTTTGAAAGGCTTTTGTTTAAAGTCGATGCAGGTCAAGAGGTAAACCAATCAAAGTTTASAAGATTTTTTTCAAGACATATTTAAAAAAAGAAATAAGAGAGAACAAAGTCACTATCATAATCAAACAAAACAGCTCTCTTAATCAACAAGAGAAAATATACAAAGTGATGAAGAGATGGATATGTTGAACCCTCGCACTTCCATGTAGTAATGAGAAATGTTCAACCCCAAACCCAAAGGAGTTGGGATGGTGTGTAAAATGAAAACAAAATGCAATAATTTTCAAAATTCCACAAACCCATTCTTTTATCCACAATGGAACATAAACATTAAAATGTATAAACTAAAAAAAGGGCATACAATTTGCTGGAAAACATGGCAGCAGAACATTTCAAAACATTTGGTACAGGAGCAACAAACGGCTGTAAAAATAATAAATATTAAAATAAGTGAAATTTAAAATGTGGAAATTCTTTTGCAAAATATAGATGCAGCATCCTCTGCATTAAAGAGAAGCACGATGCCTGCCTCTCTGATGGTATGGGGGTGCATTAGTGCCTCTGGCATGAACAGATTAAAAATCGGGAAAGGCCCGATCAAAGCAGATATGTATTTTTAGGTTTAAAAAAAAAAGGCAATCCAATTCAGACAGCTGTCAAGGAAAGCCTTGCACAATTCAGCAAGACATACTGCTTACAGTTTTCATAACAGTATGGCTTCATTTCACAAGAGTCCCAGTGCTACTGACTTCCCAGCAGTCCAGACCTCTCAGGGTTTTTTAATTCTTTATAGATTCAACTTTTATTTTATTTGACCAGGAAGATCATTCTTCCCACAACACACACAGATTTAGTAAGCAGTTAGAGGCAATGTAATGAACTGGAACTGGTCTTCTCAGGTCCTACACGTTTAGTCTTCTGTTAAAGAAGAGCAGGTACTTCACAGTGGTAAACATGACCCTGTCCCAGTGTCTTTTTATACATGTTGCTGCCATCAACAAGACTATTTATTAAAAAAACATTTTCTTTTAGTTTAAACATTTAATTGTTTACCATGTTCCATTGCGAAGAAAATATAGTTTTAGGAAATTTGCAAATCAGTTCAATCTGATTTTTTTATACATTTTACACAACCCCCCACCATTCCTTAGAATTGTGGCTTTAGAAATTAAAAAATTAAAAAAAACAGCAGGAATGTTTCTAGAACCCCCCTCAAAAAAAGTGTCTTTTTGGCAAATTGTAGTTCTCRGAGAAAAGGAGGGTGTTTTGTGTAGTGATGAACTCAGCCAGCACAGACAGAGTGAAGCTGACGGATGGATGCTGCTGGATTCAGAGGATCAGGAGGAGAACCCTGGAGTCCTCCCTCCTGATGGACCACCAACGCTAAGAGGTCTGCACGAGGCGTCTGTAGTGGGGCATGATCTCRTGCTCCGGCAGGTGCAGGTTGAACTCCAGGGCTACCAGGACGGGGAACTCGAACGCGATCAGCTCCCTGCGGTTCACTCTGAACCTTTCCTCCAGTTTCTGCCAGGGGAAAAAAAAAAAAACACAGAGGATGAGAAGACATGTTTCACAATGACTCATYCCACAACCCAAATATGACCTTCAGCCACTGAAACAGCAAAGAGAAAAAGGAAAACATTTTCTTACAACCAGTTTGGACTAAAGGATGAAGTCCGGTACGTACCCCTCAAAACTGTAGCAACAACGTCTCAGTGTCTCAGGGAGGAATCGTGTTCAAAGATGGAATTTCTAAATCAATAATGGGCCGTGTTTTTAATCTGACTTCTGAGAGCATGGTGGGATTTATCTTTTTAACAGACTCTCCAAAAAGATAAAAAGAAGTTAAATTAAAAGTGCATCAGATCATACAAATACTGCATGTCCCTTTAATACTCGCCTTGGTCTTTTAGACTGCATTTTGCTCCAGCAGTCGTTGACATAAATAAAGACYTGCCGCCTTTCATGCCAAAGTTCTAKACTAAGATTATCTTCTGTTGAGGAAGAAGTTGTAGCCATTTTGCTCAAAACTTGGAAGTTATTATGCTCAGTGCTGTGCTTTATCCCAAAAAGTCAGACTTAAGCTTGGGGTTATACTTTAATACGACGTGAGACAGCGGGTTGGTGAGTGCGTCATTTTGGACGTCTTTTTTCCTGACCGAGTATAAATGAGCTGAAGATGCAAATGATGGCCAGGTATCACACAAGAACCATCTGATGATGGGTAAAAGTAAAGAGCTCTCTCAAGACC